ACGCTTTGAGAATTGCCCACGCAACTTTCGAATCGTCGAGAACCTCCCCAAGGCGTTCTTCGTGGTGTCCATACTTGACAACTAGTCTAGTTTTTTTACATTTGTTCTTCCCGGTCTTGCTTGGTGCACCTTTCCCGTTCCTCAGTCATTTCCACAGTTGGGCCGTTTAGGGCCCGTCAGGGGCCCTCCCCATCGAAGGCAGAATCGGTCCATCCCTAGGACCATCTAGGACACCTGTGTCACTGTCCCAGGTACTGTAGCATCTCCGCAGGTTTTCAACCAAGTCCATTATGACTCTCCTTTCCACCCTAGCAGAAAACTTTCTGAAGGCCTTCATGATGGTTGTAGTTGGGAATGCGACCCCTTTCAGTTCCCTATATAGAGTCATTAAGGCGAAAGGTAGTGGTGCATCTGTGTTGGTGTTGTTCATGATCCTTTATCATATATGGTTGCAAAGTTTTGTTCAAAGGATTTGAAGCATCTTGTGATCATGAATTTGGGTTGTCTGGTTGGGGCCACACACTCTCTGCATTTTTTTATTTTTTTATTTCTTTTCAAGAAAGGTACCCTTTATTATCAAGGCCCAATGCCCAAGGCAAAAATACAATTGAGCACAAGTTTATAATCCAGGGGCCACGAGGCCTACGGCTGTATCCTGTAAGCGGAGCCTGTCCCCTTTGAAAAAAAAACCGAAAAAATAGACAAGTCAAAATCGAAAAAAGGAAAAACCCTAGAGAAAGATAACAAATATGAAAGTACAATGTCTGTTCTTTATTGCCTAGATCGGCAGAGATGACAAAGTCATGAAATAATCCTTACCACAACCAACAAAAGCCCTATAAACTTCAACCACAACACGACAAAAATTCCGAAAAGGAAAAAAAACGTATACAGCCCATGAGAAACGGACTGCGAAGCTATTCCAACAGAATACCAAAAATTCCAAAAACATTATTGTAGCAAACCTAAGCAAAACTCCATGAAAGATCAATCAAATGCAAGACTATTTACCAACAAACCATCGAAGAGCCCTCGCGACACAAAACAGAAAAAAACACAAGGTTTATACGCTCATCTACACCGACAGAGCAAAATAAAGAAAGACTCGATTTCGTAGACAACAATCTTTCGAAAGATATCTGAAAGTCATTTCCTCGAAGCTTGACGAAACAAACAACCGCCGAAGGCATACGAAGCCACCGTAAGGCAAAGCATAGTAGTTCCCCTTGTCAACAACAGAGAAACCAATAGCCACTCTCTGCATTTTTGAATTTGTGCATCAAAATCACTTCTGAAGTTTTGAAGGATTGTTCAACATAAAAATTCACATTTCCAAAAAGTCCAAAACATTGTTGTCTGAATGAGTTCTTTCTAATCTCAAATCTTCGTGATAACAATCAGAATTATAGTCCATTACTTTTCCAGGCTTCATGTTTTCTCTCATGTCGCGGGACTGGTAAAAAACAAGGAACGTCATCCACGTACTATCTTTTTTCAAAAGGTCTTCTTCTATCCCTCCCTAGGGATTTCAATAATTTCTCTTCGGTGAATATGCATACAAGGGAAGCAAGAGAAGTACAATATCATATCATATCATATCATATCATATCATATCACATCATATCATAGAGTATTGTAGATTATCGTGGAATATCGTAGACTATCATAGAGTACAGTACAGTAGAGTAGAGTACAGTACAGTAGAGTTGAGTAGAGTGAAGTACAGTAGAGTACAATAGAGTAGAGTATAATAGAGTAGAGTACAATTAAGTGGAGTAGCGTAGAGGAGAGCACCGTAGAGTATCGTAGATTTGTTAGAGTAGAGTAGATATAGTAGACTAGAGTAGAGTGAAGTTGCCTAGAGTAGAGTAGAGTATCGTAGGTTGAACTCTAGAGTAGAGTGGTGTATCGTACACTATCATAGAGTAGAGTAGAGTAGAGTAGAGTAAAGTAGAGCAGGGTAGAGTTGCGGAGAGTATAGTAGAGTAGAGTAGAGCAGAGTGGACTGTTGTAAAGTATTAGTATCGTCGTGTAGAGTATCATAGAGCGAAGTATCGTACGGTAGAGAAGAGTAGAGCGTCGTAGACTGGGGTAGAGTAGAAAGAGTAGAGTAGAGTGAAGTAGAGTATAGTAGAATGAAGTAGAATATAGTAGAGTGAAGTACAAAAGAGTAGAGTAGAGTAGACTCCACGTAGAGTATTATAGAGTAGAGTATTGTAGAGTAGAGTAGAGTCTAGTCAAGTAGAGTAGAGTAAAGTAGGGCAGAATAGAAAAGAGTGGAGTAGAGTGGAGTAGAGTGGAGTAGAGTGGAGTAGAGTAGAGTAGAGTAGCATAGAGCATCCCACTGCTGTTGGGTTTGTTGAATTAAGTTCGTGGTTTTTTGGGCCGACGCGGAAGGCTCTCCAAGTTTTTTCAAACTTTTGGCAAATGGTCGGTACTTTCTTGCTGGTGGAGTCCTCTGTCTTAGGTAAGTTGCTGTTTGCCCTCCACCATTTTATGGATTATGAAATGAAAAATATTTATTATATATGTATATGTGCAAGTGTGTCGCTTTGGCGGCATTCGGGTGTGTGGGCACTTGGCGCTGAACCACACAAACATGGCCAACCTTGCATTTTCTATTGTATTGTCTCTCTATACTTTTTTGTTATGGATGGTCTGTTATGATTTGTGGAGGAAATGAGAGAGAGAATTTGGGGTGCTTTTTCTGAAAACACACACACGCATTCCACGTGACTTCGGTGTGTCTAAGATTTAAACCACAAATCCTGCAAGATCAATGTGAAATATGCCTGCATTCATTTAGGAACAAAAAAAAAAAACTGAGAAAAGACCTTGTCTGTGGCTCTTTCACATTCTGGGGAGTTGGTGGGGACCGCTAATGCTGTTCCTTTTAGCATGCATAGAGACAGGTGTGATCTTCCATGATGTGTGCTTATCGCACAATTACGACCTGTTCATTGAGAAATAAAGAGAAAAAGAGAAGGGCTTGTCCCTAGGACTAGGCAAAATGTTCTACCTGTGGCCAAAGGTGCCAATCTTTGGCCAAAAAAGGGCCAGTCCATTTGCTGCATAGATGACACATTATGAAGAACTACCTATGAGCCGCTGACCCAATGCTGGGCAATGTGCAATAGGATTGTCAAGCAAGGATCCAACGATTTCGTTTAAAAAAACTGGACATATTATATTTTTTGAACGAAATTGAAATCTCACTTTTTGGCTAAAAAATCATCAAATTGAGGGTATGGCATTTTGAAAAGTTGAAAACGCCCTCCCCTCAATGTATCTGGATCTGGCCGAAGTCTGCATACATCCAAGGGGTCCGGCATTTTCCAGCCTGGATGTATGTGGTCTTGTGCTAAGTCCAGATACATCGAGGGGGTAGGGCATTTTCAGAACGTCGTACCCTCAATTTCATGAATTTTGGGCCAAAAAATAAGATTTCAATTTCATTCAAAAAATATAATTGCCCATTTGAATGAAACTGCTGTGCAAGCACAGGTCTGCAGTGCTTCCCTGAAAAGAAATTAAAAAGGGGTCAGCACGTGAGGTCCATAGATGACAATGATGACCATTCAAAATCAGTCAGAAAGAAAATCATCACCCAGAAGGGCCAGAACCCAGTGGCGGTCCGCTCTCACCTCAACAGTGAGTGATGCAGAAGTAGTTTGCCCTCGAATTATGGTTGCAGTCACATTGACATAAAAGGTGTAGACCTCCCCCATTGTCAGAGCAGAGCTGCGAATGGAGATGTATCGCCTATCGGCACGGAAGGTACCAACCAAGCCCTTCATCAGGTTCAGCTTATTGCAGCTCCACTGAAAAACTGTGTAGTCGTTGTCCATCCAGTCAGTAACTGCAGCCAGTCTCAAGTTGTGGCGTGGGTCATGGGTCCTGAAATTTGCAAATCAAACAAGGAAATCAACTTCTGTTTCTCCTCTCCTTTCTTACGTCATGCCTCTGTTTCTGGACTTCACCAATCACCTTCTTCTTCGTCTTCTTTTTCTTCTTCTTCTTCTTCTTCTTATTATTATTATTATTATTATTTTCCTCATTCGCAAAATTCTGTTAAAAAAAAAAAAAAAAGAATTTGCCAAAGTGGTGGGTGGTCCCTGCCACCCTGGAGATCTTTAATCACCCAGGTCTACCCCAATCTCAGCACCAATCGGTACTAGTGTCACTTTTTCTGTTAGAAGGGGTTGTCTGGTGCATTCGGTCTGAGTGGTCCTGAGAGTATGCTCCATACTTGCGGCTCGTAGATGAAGTGGGCTGATCACAGATGCACACGTGAACACACACACACACACACACACAAAAAAAAAAAAGAGAGAGAGAGAGAGAGAGAGAGAGAGAGAGAGAGAGAGAGAGAGAGAGAGAGAGAGAGAGAGAGAGAGAGAAATCAAAGAGCCCTTTCACATTATTCAGACAACCCCTGCTGGTACTTCAAAAGGTCCCTGCCAAAAGTTGGCAAGGGTTCCGCCGGCAGGAGGGTGGTGGTCACTGGAAGGGTAGCCGCTGGAATTGTAAAAGGAGGGAACAGGCCAGCTATATATGGTGTAGCTTCGAATTCAGGTCCGTGTTTCAACAGTTATCCTGAGGCAAAAGTTGTTTAGACTATTTTTTTGCTAAGAAAAACAATGGAATTTGCTTTTGTTTTTTTCTCTCAAATTTGGTATGAAGTTTTGATGTGACCCTGAGGCAAAAGTTGTTCAGATTATTTTTCTGCATAACATATTTATTTCTCAGATTTTGTCGACAAATTGTTTGTTTGTTTTTTCATGACCGCCCCCCCCCGGTCACGGTCACAACCGGGGTGACCGTCGCTCATTGGGATTTGTAGGTAGGAGGTGATGATAGAGGAAGTAGGAAGGAGAGGGAAGACACAAGGCCTCCTTGATCAGTACTTGCGCTTCTTGTTTTTTATTTTATTTTTTGATGAAATTTTGAATGATTCTTGTTGTTCAGTTCCGTTGTGAGACATGTTGTACACAAACATCAATCTGTTATGAACTTTGTTTGACGATTTTCATCGCCACTCACACACAGACAATCTCATACACGCCCATAGATGCATAAGACGAAGCGAAGAGGAGACAAAGTCCAAACTGCACACAGATCAAAATAGGCAGCAAAAGACAACCATGCACAGATGGGGAGAGATACACAGTATTTCTCAATCTCTGACAATACTCCCAACAACCAATCACAAGAAGACAACTGCGAGGATAACAATAGGATTTACACTGATGATGAGCCAACTCGAACCAATTATAGTTACAGAGTTTGTTTCAGTATCTCGCCACCGTCAGAACTCCACACTCCACTCTCTACCCTACACCCAGTTAGTAGCGCAACACTGAGATGGCCTCCCAGGGGCCTGCGCCAACCGCCCAGATGAGGAACAGGAGCTGCAATGGAGTCTTTAGTGCCGCTGAACAACTCTGACGAAGAAGCTGGCAGCTATGGCTGCCACACCACTGATGAAGCCTGAAACTCCCAAAAGAGAGAGGGGCGATAGTGGTCCACCCACAAACACTCAGTGAAGAGCCTCTCAATAGCCCAGCCAATCGCAGATACCCTCAGGGGTAGATGCTTAGAGGGTGCCACAGCTATGGCAAGCTCCAGTAGGCTGGCTATGGCTGCCGTCCACGACGAGGGTCTCAGGGTACCGCCTGTAGACAATCGCCTCCACCAAACTTCCTTGGCTCCGAATGCTGCGTCGTGAAAATGAAAAGCCAAAAGTCCCTCAACTACAGGCTCAGTCCTATTAAATAGACTAGCCTACTCTAGATCTAGACCTACTGGACCGGTACCGCATCAGTTTGGGCTGCTCGACCTGGGTCCTACCCGGCTATACGACGTCTAGACCGTCTCTACAGCCCAAGGCCCAAATGGGCCTGCTGTCCTAGTGATAGCCCGGGCCTGCTAAGGGCAGTAACGGCTAAGGGGAACTCGGGCCTGCAATTTTCCTGGAAATTGCAGATATGTCCCTCACGAATTTCCCTCATGACTGAACTGGCGGTTAGTCTCTGACACAAACAAAATTACGAATCTGACCCTAAGACGCGACTATACAACCTCGCAGTCAGATCTGGACAGTAAAAATCAGCAAGCCATTGCAGACTTACCCCCCCGGGGAGTGAGGACCTTCGAGCTAGGAGTGTAAACGAGGAGATTGGCGAAGAAGGTTTTCCTTCTGGGCCGCCTCGTAACGTAAAACCACAGACTTTGCTGTCTTGAGAAGTTCCTTCCGAGTAAACCATCGGTCCTCCGTATGAGGCTGGAAGCAGAACTTCACAAGATACTGTCGGTCGGGGCGAGTGCCCCACTCATCCTCAATGGACTCCACGTCGTATCCCTTACTAGGGATCGGTGGGCCAAATTGAGGGGGCCAGTCGGGGAATGCATCAGCTGAAATGAAAGGAAGCAGCTTAGATGCATGGAAGACCGGGTAGGTCTATAGATGCAGTGGGACGTCGATAACATACGACGGGCCAAAGGGATCGGAGCCCACTGTATCTAACACCTGCCATGGACCCAGGTATTGTGGCAACAACTTCGAAGAGATATCCTCCTCCTTCGACAACTCAGAGCTGGCTACCTAGACGTAGTCGCCAGTACGAATGGGGGAAGGACGTCGGTGGCGGTTAGCTTGTTCTGTCATGGCCTTTTGGGCCTTGAACAAGTTCGCCCGTGCCCTTTCCACATCAACCCTATATCGTCTGGCAAACTCCGCAGTGCCATGAGTCAGATCTGACTTAGCCTTATTGATGATATCATCAAGAGGTTGTCGTGGTTCACATCCCCAATGCAAACGGTATGGGTTGAACCCAGTCGAGGAATGGATAGAAGTGTTATAAATGAGTTGTGCACGTGCCAGGTGGAGATCCCAGTCCTGTTGATCTGGAGAGATGATAGGACGCAACAGCTGGAGTACGACTTGGTTCATCACTTCAACTTGACCATTGGCTTCAGGATGACGACCAGAAGTCATGTCCAGTCGTGAGTGCAGGTAGTCCTTACAATAGGACTACCACTCATTGCTGCAAAATCGGGGGTCTCTATCGCTGACTATGGAAGTGGGCGGTCCATGGTGAGTGACCCACGTCTCTAAGAACGTTGCTCTCACAACGGGGACCCTAGCTACGTCTGGCACGGGGATGAACTCTGCGTACTTAGAGAACCTGTCAACATAGACCATGACCTGATGCATGCCACGAGGGGTGGTCTTGCTTAGATCTGTAAAGTCTATGGACACAGATTCAGCAGGACCATCAGGTATGGGTAAGGGTTTGAGCAGTCCCAGAGGAGGTCTATGTTGGACCTTGTTTTTCTGGCAGAACTCACGGGTTTCAATATAGTGCAGCAGATCACTCCGCATCTCCTTCCAGAAGAAGCGTTGCGACAGGGCGACATATGACTTTAAGAACCCAAAATGTCCGCGTGCATCATGACATTCTGACATCAGCAATGTCCTGAGACGTTGGTCCTAGGGAATGCACGAGCGTTCCTCACCTCTGCTGTAAGTGTACAACAAGTCTGAACTCAGGGCATAGTCGGGTTCAGAGTTGGGATCTGCTTATGGGTCCATAAGTCGGGTCCTGAGGCAGTAGACGAGCAATGGTTTGACGGGTCTCCTCTCCGAAGGAGTGAGTGGACGAGAGGTCTGACGGGTCTCCTCTCCGAAGGAGTGAGTGGAGGAGATCAACGCAAAAGAGTCAGGCCTACGAGAGAGGGGGCATCTGATACTTTATTGTAGCAGCCCTTCTTATGTTTCAGTTCAAAGTCACACATGTGAATGAACTGAAGGTAACGTGCCAGTTTGTCGTTTAACTCTCCTTGAGACTTCATCCACTGTAAGGTGGAATGATCAGAGAAGATATTGAAGTGCGTGCCCAGGAGAAAGTGCTTCCAATGCTTTAGGGCACGGACAAGAGCGTATAGCTCTTTCTTGTAGGTAGAGTCTTGAAGCTTCTGGGTCTTGATCTTCTTACTCATGAATTCCACAGGCCGTAGACCGTTCCCATCATCCTGCTGAAAAACTGCCCCAATGTCATACTGACTGGCGTCAATGGTCAGGATAAATGGCAGAGTGGGGTCAAGCAACTTCAGCACTGATGCACGAGTCAAGGCCTTCTTGAGTCGTGTAAAGGCCAACTGACAGGGAAGGGACCAAAGGAAAGGAGTGTCTTTCTCTGTAAGGTTAGTCAGGGGTGCAGCCACTGCAAAAAAGTTCCTGACAAACTTTTTGTAGTACGAGGCCAAACCCATGAAGGACCTGACATACCTGAACAACAACTATCTTGGCCGCTTCATGAGCCAGACCATCTCCAGAGATTACATGACCCAGGTAGATAACAGAGGAAACTCCAAAAGAGGACTTTTCTCTGTTGATCTTATACTGGCTGTCACGTAACGACTGGAGGACCAGAGCCAGGTGCTCCGTACGTTCCCTGGCAGTTCGGCTGAATATCAGAATATCATCCAGATAGACAACCATGAACTTGTCCAGGTAAGGCCTGAAGATGCGGTGCATCTCAGTCTGGAAGGTACCTGGGGCGTTGCAAAGTCCAAATGGCATAACCAGAAACTCATAGGTACCGTATCTGGTTTTGAAGGCTGTCTTATAGACATCCTCCTCTGCCATCTCAATCTGGTGATAACCAGATTTGAGGTCGACTTTGCAAAACACTGTCCAACCCTGCACCATATCCAGAAGGTCATCGATCCTAGGAATAGGCTATGTACTCTTCCTAGTGATCTTATTGAGACCTCTGTAGTCGATGCACATTTTGAATTCTCCATTCCCTTTCGGGACAGAGAGCACTGGTGCGCCAAATTCAGATGTGCTCGACCGTATCCAGCCTTTGTTGGTCAGGGTCTCTAACTGCTTTTTGAGCTCCTCAAGCTCAGCAGGGGACATCCTGTAGGTGCGGCCCTTGGGAGGGACCGCTCCAGGTAGCAGCTCGATGTGATGCTTGGTTGGCCGGTTGGGCAATCCAAAGGGCTCCTGCATCAGATCAGCATACTGATCCACAACCTGCTGTATCTCAGGAGGACAGGAAACAGGTGCAGCGTCTGTTTGCTTGACCAGAGCTAAAAACAGACGCTCATGGTCGTACTGGCGTGAGAGGGAATAAAACTCTCTTGCTCTCAAACAGTAGCATAAGGTTTTTGGGTGGTGTTCAGCAACAATCCTGCAAGTCTGATACACCCCCATTGGGGAGTTCAACCTTAGGGATCTGCCAGTCGATCCTAGGGTTGACTGCCCTCAGCCACTGCATCGAGAACACCAGATCAAAGGGTAGATCAGGGAATATGTAGAAGTTCAGACGATGTCTGACTTCTCCAGCACCATCGAAGGTAACAGGGATACCCCTGACCTTCTCCCTGATGGTGATGGTAGTGGAGTCGCCAATCCTAACCTGCAGTGGGAGCTGCTACTGCTTAACTTTCATGCCCAGGTGCAATTTCTTAGCAGCTCTAGGGGACATGAAGTTTCTGGTGGCTCCACTATCCAGCAGTCCCTTGATGCTGATGTTATTGATCAGGGGCCGAAGTAGGATGAGGTTAGACTTGACTTTCCTTTGTTCTTTCAGGTGAAAGAAAAAGGCAGTAAGGATCTGCAACTCATGCTCCTCCGGTTCCCGATCCGGGTCAGGATCCTCATAGCAAAAGGATGCTGCCCGTGCAACTCCCACAATCTGTGGTGTCTCAACTGAAGCAGCTGCAGATTCATCTTCCTTAGAAGATGAAGGTGCAACACTGGAGGGAAATGCAGTCCCCAGGGTCTGATTCAATTTTTTGACTGACCCGGGCCTGGCATGTAAGGGCAGTCTTTCAAGAAGAGCTGACCCTCACACCGCAGGTAGACCCCTTGATCCTTCCTTCTTCTCCAGACTCCTTCCTGAATCTTGAGATCATGTCAGGGGAGAGTTGAGGGATTGAGTGGGTCAGCTGGCATATAGACGTCCTTTGGCAGGTTAGGGCGTTGGGTAGAGGTAGAAGGACGGCGTCCCTTGTCCTTCCCCTTCGAACTGGCTGAGGCTGTGGCGGGAGAGAACCGTTTCTGTTGCTGCTGAACTCCCAAAACAGCCTGAGTCAGGGCTGCTGCAACATCTGTATTAGCAACTGACTTAGTCCCAGCTGATGGTACATCAACCTGGGAGTCTGAATCACTGGCTGATCCAGATCCTACATGAGTGAAGGCAGCCTTTCCCTTTCTGCCACCACGAGGGAAGGCTCCTTTTCTTCTGTTAGAAGAAGGGGCCTGAACATGAAGTTTTGCCTACATGTCCAGGGCTGCACGGCCAAAGGATCTCCAATCCTTGTGCCCAACACTGTACAAAGCAACTGCAAACTTCTCAGGCATGGCCCTGCAGAAGTTGGTCAATAGATCATCTGTTGACATGACCAACCCAGGGGTAGAGGTCAATTGCTCGAACTCTGCAAACAAGGACTGCAGTGTCCCACTGTAGCACTGCCGCCCCAGGCAAGCAATCCTGTCAGCAGCTTTGTGGGCCCGCTCCTTATCTGCAAAGCGGTCCTCTAGGGCCTGCAGAAGTCTGTCCACCCCCAACCCAAAAGCCCTGTCCTCCAGACGTTCCTCCAGATTGTTGGAGGTTGAGGTGGCCCACTTCAGAGCGGGTCCCTCCAACAGTCCCAGCACCGTTGCAACCTTGGTCTGCTTTGCATATGTGAACCCTCTCAAGTAGGATTTTGTACCTGCAGCTCAGTCCCCAACATCGACCTTCGGGTCATCCCCTTTGAACTTGTTGGGGGCTGGGATCTTAGGTCCCCTTTGATCACCTGCAGGGACAGATTCAAGCGTTGGGCGTGAACCAGAGGGAGATGGGGAAGGAGAAGGAGAAGGTTTTACTTTGAGTGCAGGGGACTTAGGAACAATCAGCTTAGCTGCTGTCAGCTGAGCAGTCAGAGCCTGAATTGTATCCAGTAGCTTTGACTGTTGAGCCGCCAGGTCATCAACTATGCGCTCAAGACGGCCCATGCGGTCATCCCAATTGGTGAAATAGGAACTGGTGGCTTTGTGTTCCAAAACGGCCCACTCCACCAAGTTCCTGGTCACCTGGGTGCAACGCTCATCTGACATGGCCTTGGTTAACTGCTCCAACAGATACTCACTGCGTGAGGCATCTGTTGCAGCCTCCAGCTCGGCTGCCTCCTGTCTCTCAAGTTTTGCTAGCAGCGCCTGCTCCTGCTGCAGTCTATCCTGTAACTCCTTCTTCTGTTGAGTAGCAGTCAGGGGTGTAGTAGAGGGGGAGGCAGAAGTATGTGGAACTTTTGTCTTCATTTCTACTTCTCCCTGTGGCTGCTGCTGAGCACCCTGATCCACCATTTTCCACTTTCAGAATCACAGTAGTTAGTAGACAACCAGGGGAGTATGCAGCGATATCCAATTTCCTTCAGACACTCAGAAATTGCTGCTATCTGTCTCACAGAGGTAGGTGGGTGAATGGGGAACAAATGATTGGGGTTGGAACAGTGTCTCTGGAGGTCAGCGGTCAGATAGACAGACAACCCAGTAAAATCAGTCACACGATTTCCTTTTACTGACCCTGCACCTTAACTGGAGTTAGTACAGACAATTCCAATGATTCCAGAGATATCCTATAATTCCAGAGCCCACTAGAAAACAAGAGGATACAGTGGGAGAGAGGAAGAGTGGTAAGTACAGACAATCATAGACCAACAAGATATAACGATTTAGTCAGTAGCCTTGCATCCTATCATAGACTCAAATTTCGTCACTGTTGACTCTGACAGCCATACCCAGGGGTATGGCGATTTACAATACTCACTGTAACTTCCCAAATACTGATAATCTGATCAAGCGCTTTTAAACAGATGACAACAACTAAATTGCGATTCACTACCGAGTGACAGAATTGAATTCTGACGGGTAGAATTGTAGTTGTGACTAACCCTAGATAGGTCGAACTATTAATAGGCTCAACGCAAAATTACAATCCACAGTATCAGTACTTTTCCATAACAGAATTCGCATTCTGAGCATACAAGATTCAGCACAATACTGTCATGCAGTCCCAGAACAGATTTGAGACAGGAAGAGTCAGCAGAGGGGGAGATATGAGAAAGTGAAGGTAGGAAGAAAATGGTTATGGCTGTCATGCAGTCTGACAAAACTGGATTTGGACTCTGGCAGACAGATAGGTCATCAATTCTGACTATAATGACACTAAATAATTCGCTATACAGAGATCTGTGTGGAACATACTCAATTTCAGTGTAGTTTTCAGAAGGTGCTGAAGATCTCGCTATGGCAGACTGAAACCCTTATCTCGCCAGTTGCTTCCAGAAAGTCCTCCTTTGATCTCCACTTACATAATCTCTTCAAACTTGTTGATCTTCCTCAGGATACTTAGGCGCTTCAATCCCACTTACTATATTCACTGAATCTAGTCCAGTGGCGATCTGATAGTCAACAGAAGATATCTCGCCACTGGCCCAGCTAGCCGTTGATGCTATAATTACCTCCAGATGGGGTCAACTCTGCATGAGATTGACTCTAGCAGGCAATCTAGCTCAGCGATCCTCAGGGATGATATTGCCACCCAGTTACCCTCAATGTTCAGGGGTAATTCGCCACTCTAAGGCAAATCGCTCATCTGCACTCAGGGTTGACTTTGACGAAGTAGCCCTGTACTCGCCACTTCTGACAAGCGCTCTGGCCGGGACAGTGTGCTTGGTCAATCCAGACACTGTACACTTGAATTCGTCACCTGCAATCTTCACTGCTTCAACCCTGAAGAAGATGGACCGCCATGGAACTCCCTTCAGAAGATCTTCAGAAGAAGAAGATGCCCCTGTTGCGCTCAACCCTCAGTGCCCCTAATCCTACCCCGCTACAATACCAACTGTTATGAACTTGGTTGTTTGACGATTTTCACCGCCACTCACACACAGACAATCCCATACACGCCCATACATGCATAAGACGAAGGGGAGAGGAGACAGAGTCCAAACTGCGCACAGATCAAAATAGGCAGCGAAAGACAACCATGCACAGATGGGGAGAGATACGCAGTATTTCTCACTCTCTGACAATACTCCCAACAACCAATCACAAGAAGACAACCGCGAGGATAGCAATAGGATTTACACTGATGATGAGCCAACTCGAACCAATGATAGTTACAAAGTTTGTTTCAGGATTTCGCCACCGTCAGAACTCCACACTCCACTCTCTACCCTACACCCAGTTAGTAGCGCAACACTGAGATGGCCTCCCAGGGGCCAGCGCCAACCGCCCAGATGAGGAACAGGAGCTGCAATGGAGTCTTTAGTGCCGCTGAACAACTCTGATGAAGAAGCTGGCAGCTATGGCTGCCACACCACTGATGAAGCCTGAAACTCCCAAAAGAGAGAGGGGCGACAGTGGTCCACCCACAAACACTCAGTGAAGAGCCTCTCAATAGACCAGCCAATCGCAGATACCCTCAGGGGTAGATGCTTAGAGGGTGCCCCAGCTATGGCAAGCTCCAGTTGGCTGGCTATGGCTGCCATCCACGACGAGGGTCTCAGGGAAACGCCTGTAGACAATCGCCTCCACCAAACTTCCTTGGCTCCTGCTGCGCCGTGAAAATGAAAAGCCAAAAGTCCCTCAACTACAGGCTCGGTCCTATTAATAGACTAGCCTACTCTAGACCTAGACCTACTGGACCGGTACCGCATCAGTTTGGCCTTCTCGGCCTGGGCCCTACCCGGCCTGGGCCCTACCCGGCTATACGGCGTCTAGATCGTCTCTACAGCCCAAGGCCCAGATGGGCCTGCTGTCCTAGTGGTAGCCCCCGCCTGCTAAGGGCAGTAACAGCTAAGGGGAACTCGGGCCTACAATTTTCCTGGAAATTGCAGATATGTCCCTCACGAATTTCCCTCAGGACTGAACTGGCGGTTAGTCCCTAACACAAACAAATTACGAATCTGACCCTAAGACGCGACTATACAACTCGCAGTCAGATCTCGACAGTAGAAATCAGCAAGCCATTGCAAATATACGTCAGGGGGGGTGGGCGAACAAGGCACGAGGATGGGCTCGGTAGCATGGGGGCAGAAAATAGTAGATCAGGAAATAGGACACCTTGACCGAGACTACACGTCCAATCTTAACAATCGGTGTTTGGAAAGATCTATCATAAGATGATTCTTAGAGCCTACACCACGAAGGTCAGGCCGTACCTATCTGATGAATGTAGACAGATGCAGTGAGGGCTGAGTTGTTGGGAATAGGCTCCGGAATCCCGGTTGGCGCTAGGTTGCTTTTCCATTATCTTCAAAGAAAAAAGGTAGTGGAGGACATGGTTCCCCCACATGCCACCGCTACAATGGGCTGACAGTCAATCCCCTGCCCAAAGGGCAGGTTAAACCACTAGTACCTCTCCCATATGTCGGCCGCGGGCAGTTTCGGAAGGCCGAAACGACATACGGGCCACCAATTCCATTTATCGACGGCGGCCCTCCCCCACTTGGCCCCCACGTTGCCCGGCGTATCTCGGCAAAGCTGGGAAAGGTACTGGTGGTTTAATCAATGCTGAAGCACCTCCTCCTATTGTCTTGACCCAAAAAAAGTGTAGGTATGTATATGAATACAACGTATCGGTGTATGTTGTATTCGAATACAACGTACAGACCTTATACAATGAGTTTTAGGGTAGAACTTTGCAGGAGCCTGTAGTTTCCCTGCCTTAAAAAAAAATACAAAAAAAATTATTCTCATTTTTTTTTCCTTCTCAAATTTGATTGTGAATTTTGACATGACCCTCAGGCAAAAGTCGGTGCGTTAGCACAGCGCTGCGTTAATGCAGCCCTCACAACTTTTTAGGGAAGGCACCGAGTGCATCACGGGAGGGTAACGCTTCCAGTGCCTGCTGATATGGTTGCCACATGCTGCCTTTGGTCCCTCCTTGCCATACGACAAGCATGGGAAGGATTTGGACACCGCCCCACATCAGCATATGGAAACTGATCAGGGTCTTTACCCCTGGTCCTTGATATGGAGCCCTGAATCGAGATGGGCAGTTGAGGCATGCGTGCTCTCCAGTCGACGTATGGCGAGTGTGTTTCACTGTGGTGGAGCGGACGTTGGCCATTTTACCTTTCATGCCGACCAGGAGAGAGATGTCCAAGCTGGAGTGAAGTGGGTTTCATGCCGAACAGGAGAAAGATGTCCAAGCTGGAGTGAAGTGCACGTAGTGGGAAGGAGAGTGGCTGTGAGCGATGAAGAAAGATTGAGGTTCTACCTCATCGTGAAGGGTGGGCGCCTTGATCCGTGTGAAGCAAAGGAACTTTTGCGTTTTCTTATTGATGGTCTCTGCACCGAATTGCTTGAATATCCGGTTGCTAAACGGCATGGGGTGTGATTTCCACAGTCTAAGTTGGCTTTGCATTTCCTTCTTGAGAGAGCTATTGTGGCACTCGGTCTTACTTTAGTGCACGTGCCTCTGATGTGTGTGTGTGTGTGTGTGTGTGTGTGTGTGTGTGTGTGTGTGTGTGAGAGAGAGAGAGAGAGAGAGAGAGAGAGAGAGAGAGAGAGAGAGAGAGAGAGAGAGAGAGAGAGAGATCTTGAAGATCTTGAAGATCGATAGTTTACTCTTCACAATTGCTGTTCCTCATTAGGTTGGTAAGTTCTGTGTTTTTTCGTTAGATGATTACTGGTTGTGGTTTTGGGGTTTGATAATTACACTTTGTTTACACTCACGGACGTGCTTGATATGCTTGTACCGGACGTTTTGTATTTCATTGGTTTGTGGTTTTTCCTTGTGATGGACTGATGATAACCATGTATTACTTTAGGGTTGAGACTTGGGTAATTTTTTTTATTTATTTTTTTTTGGGAACAATGCTCCAATCTATTAGTGGGGAGCAACACATGCTGGGAACCGGGCCCAGCGTCCCATATTGAAAATTACATCGAATTTTGAAAATTTGAGATACCGGGGCCATTACCCAGCTTTGGCTCAGAAAAAATTGAAGCTACTTAGGAGAATACGACAAACTTCAGAATTGGACAAGATTTAGAAACCGACTCAGGAGCCCCCCATCAATCCTCTTTACCTCTCCCCGGCAAGACTTACTGCAACAGAGCCACCATCTCCGTTGCTGCTGTACCCTATTTCCATCCTACCAGCTAGCCCTCGCACTAGTAGGATGCTTGATATCCCACCATCTACTTCTCCCACTCACCTAAAAGACTCAGACCCCCCAATCCATCCCCTGTACCCCACTCCGGCAAGACTTACTGCAGTAGAGCCACCATGTCCGCTGCTGCTGTACCCTATTCCTGTCCTACCAGCTAGCCCTCTTGCTAGTAGGACGCGTAATATCCCACCTTCTCCTTCTCCCACTCACCTCGGTCTCTTAAGAAAACGTCTGAGCAATACGGAAAACATACAGATAGACCTCATAGGTCCTACAATGTTCAAAAACCCTTGAAATCACTGACGAACCCTTCCCAAGCACTCCAACACTGCCCTACTCCCTACCGAGCTCTTCCAGGTCTCACACCCCCACATCTTCTTGGGTTACAGGGCAACACAACTCACCCCAGCTCCCCCCAGCTCCGACCAGCGTCGTCCCAGCAGCAACCCTTAGTTGTCCCGTGGAATGCCCACCCCAAAATGAGACTTGGGTAATTAAGGTTTACCTAGACGCTGAGCTCGCGAGGGCGCAGCGCGACCGGGAGCGCTGCGCCCCGCTCGAGCGCCGTCAGAGTGGACACGACGCGCCGCAGGAGCTAATGGAGGATCAGGCGATGCGGTCGTCGGAGCGGACACAGCGCGGCGCAGGAGCTAATGGAGGATCAGGCGACGCGGTGGGCAGATGGGGGCAGTGGGCGTAAGACTTGACAGCGGGAGGGTAGAGACGATGTGGCGTGACTTGGTGTGGCCTGCCTTTTGAAAGCACAGGGGTGCCATCTCCGGCTTCACGCTTTACCTAGTGATGTTGCAGGCCAGCACGCTGGATGAAGGGAAGACTGTCCTTGCATGGGGGCGAGTCTTTATGAGATTCTCGGCATATTGGTTTCCTTTGCTTCTCTGCCTGCGTAGTTTTGTGGAGGAGGGTCGGTTGATGCAGGCGGACAGGGAGGAGCGCGTCCTCACGTGGAGTGGGAGGAGGATTGGAGGCAACATCGAGTCCATTTTTTTGAAGAAGGGCGAAGCGGTATTGGCGGCAGCTGGGTTTTTGTCATGAGGGCATCCGGAGTGCGAGGGTGCTGTCGTCGAATTTTTGTTTGTATTGTTGATTGCATATTTAGTGTGAGTTTGACTCTTCTTTGGATAGACCCTCTTGCTGATCATATGGGTATGATGGTTGGATCATTTCGTGTAAGCCGGTAATTCTGATTGTTGAAAATCTCATTTCTGATTCTTACACATCTTTCTTTTTACTGTCTGAGCGATTCCCTTTCTCAATTGATTGTCGATTCGTTTTTCTGATTTACTGTCCTTTCTGTTGATTTGTCGGCGGCTTAGTATTTCCTGTTTACTGTCTGAGTGAATTTTCCCTATTGATTGTTGATTCGTTTTTACAATTTTCCTTCCTTAATTTTTTGTGCCATACAGCTTTGCTAATGTTTCTCAAACCACGGCTTGGGATTCTGATTCGAAAATCCTTTATGGATATCTAATCCTAAATTTCGTACGATCTTTCGCAAATTTCATCATTCCAATTTGGATAATCAATTCCTATCGGATCTTATTTTCAATTACAGTTTAATTCTGATTGATTTTTCAAGCAATCTTTTCAAATAATTTTCTTCCCAAACAATTAATCTTCGTAGGTTTTGGTAAAGCAAAAGGGGGAGGGTGGAATTAAAGGTTGGTGGGAAGTGGGGGGTAGAAGGATAGGCGACATAGAGTGGTAAGTCTAACTAGGAGGGTGGGGTGGGACGACAGTGGCCGGTGCTGGAGCATTTGCTCTGTGACCAGGGGGGCTTGAGGCCATTGAAGTTATGCCGAGGGTGGAAGGCATAACCATCTCTCCCGACGTAGTTGTTGCCGGGGCAGTGACCATGTAACCTTTTGGAGGGGCTATACAATTAAGAGAGGTGTCGAGGGGGGAAGGCACTCTCTATCCATCAGAAACAGTTAGATCAGTATTGGGGCAGTTTGTGTTGCCTTGTAACCCTAGCTGGGGGGTATGAGATCTAATGATTTCTGGTATGAGGACTGAAAGCCTGGTCGACGTACCTTTCATTAGTGACGAGGGTAGGAGTTGGATTATTAGTGGTTGTAGTTCTTGACCTTCCTCCTTTTCATTTTTGTCATATGGAGGGAGAAAATCGGAAGTAAGGTTTGAAAGTAATTTTGGGGGGGGCTCGTGCAGTAGGGGAAGGGTGACTCAGGGTGGTAAGTCTACCAGAAGGACGGGGTGGGGCGACAGTGGTCGGTGCTGGGGCAGTGGCTCTGTGACCATGGAGAGGAGCTTGAGGCCATTGAAGCTATGCCGAGGGTGGAAGGCATAACCACCTCTTTCAACGTAGCTGAGGCTGGGGCAGTGACCCTGTAACCCGGTTGGGGGTTGGCAGCTAAGGAAGTTGTCGAGGGAGGAAGACACTTCCTGTCCGTCAGAAGACAGTTAGTTCGGTGCTGGGGCAGTTTGTTTTGCCTTGTAACCCTAGCAAGGGGGGCGTGAGAACTSGYGACTTCTGGTACGAGGRCTGARKGSYKGWKTKKCGGYTKYWSGGMKGKWKTGA